GAATTGATTTTAACACCGCTTTACACAGAATGCCAGTGAGGGGGTTTAGTTTTATGCCGCACTCAGAAATATTCAAGCTATATGGCAGCGGTCTGTAAATAATCGAGTCTGGACCAGACAATCCAGTGATGAACAGCATGAGCATCGATCTACGCAATTGGGATACGATGACATGTCAACCAAGTCAGCGAGCCTGACCACAGGATCCGTTAGTTGCCTCTTGCGGCAAGCGACTTTCGTAGATCGATACTCATGATGTCAGTCACTGGATTGTCTGGTCCAGAATCTATTATTTGCAGACTATTTAGCTGAAGTATTGCGAGCGGCGTCAAACAACAAAATAGCAAAGAAATAAAACATTACGACAGTCAACTTCGTTGGAGAAAAGTCACAAGCCACCTTGAGACATAACCATGGTGAACTGGGATTCAAACACAAAATCATCGGATCCTTGCATGGCCAATGGACACCATTCTGCACAGCGAATCCATAAAATGACTGTCAATAACATCGTGTTGATTGGGTATAAGCTGCTTAAGTTGTTTCAGAAAAAAATGCTTTAACCTTCACGTACAGAGAAATCTCGACAAACAAAAACGAGCTAATATGTGAACCATCGGCAATTACGGAACAATATCAGGCTGGTCTCTCAATTAATGCAGCTAAATTTGATCAATCTAAATCTGAGGCTTAATTATAACACGAACAACATTTCCCGACACCTGGGATCGCAGCATCCGTGACAGATGTAGGTCAACACAAGTCAAGGCCACAGAACATACTAGTATACTACTTTCCTAATAACATGGTAACACTCCGTCTGTTCTGTTTGTTTGATTTATAATTCAGCAAAGTGTATTTCAGTGTCTAATTTAGCTATTTAAAAATACATTAGTTGTCTTACGCAACTTGGGTAAAAAATTTCTGCGGATTTAATACAGCTGTGAGCATGAAATTGATCTTCGAAAGTATTACCTTGACACAAATTAGATTTCCGTCAGTGAATTAATTCTAATTCATCGACCCAATTCAACTAGAAGCCGTGACAAGATGTGCTGAAATGAATTAGTGAATTATATTGACTCTTTGAATAGAAATAAGTTATAAGCTGAGATTAAAAACGCCATCCAGGCAACAGAAAACCTACTCTGATGACTCAAGGTGGGGTACTGGGGTTATAGTCAGGTTTGATGACCCAGTCTGATAATATTCTTTAGATCTGCGACCAGACACCTGTGAACATGGGTTGGAATCCCTGTTACATTTTTCCAGATTATCACCGTAGGTTTTACAAACGTTCAACAGCATAGTCAAGCTCTGGCTCCATCACTTCGGGCGTAACTTCGGTGTAACCTTCGACATCAAGTTGAAGTACTGTTCAAACGAGCGTTTAACCGACTCACCGAAATTATCATTGTTATATGAGGAGTTCAAGCTACAGCTGAAAGTTGTAAACTAATACAGATTCTAGACACGATCACACCACATATACCATTCACACTAGTGGTTCATCACCAATAACACACAATCCCGATTTACAGACAAGTCTTCCCTGCTATTCATCACGCCAACGAGGTACCTTATCCTCAGGGACCGCCTCCGTGGTGTAGTGGTTAGAGCGTCCGCCCGGAGTGCGGAAGGTCGCGGGTTCGATCCCCGACCGCGTCATACCAAAAGACGTTAAAATATGGTACTTGTTGGTCCCTGCCTGGCGCTCGGCATTAATGGGTACAACAAGGACTGGTCGGCTCGGAGTCAGTATAATGTGTCTGAGTGGCGTTTTCATGCTTCACTGCGGCATGGTATCTCAGTGGGCTAGCACTATAAAACCAGCTTCAGTCTGGGCTAGTACAAGCAGCCTCACATACACATACACACGCATGCATGTCGTCATATGAGCGAAATATTCTCAAGCACGACGTTAAACCCAATTTCTCCACCACCACCACCTTATCCTCAGTCTCCAATTTGCCTAGTGCTAATCGCTCCATATCCATACAGTGTAAAATGAAGTTGCCGTCAACGCAGGACACATATGCTTCTGGTTCAATAAGATAGGTTACAGCTGGCTCGTTTTACTTTAGAACTGACCCGATAGCTATTACATACAGTATCGGAGACGCCATAGCTATCTATATGACCTAACTAGCTATAGAAAAACAAAATACCGACCTCTTGCGCGCGTCAGTAACGACAATAGACGACATCGTCGCAATGTCTCGTCATATCACCGTTACACAACCACGGCTCTGTACCTCGAGAGCAGATGTATTAAGTGGCGTCTACGTGAGATATACTCTATACCTTAACTCAATTATTTAGCGAGTTGCCCGATAAAGCGCCAAAGAAATATCTAAAGCTGCCACACCTAATTACATCGTATCAAACTGGCCTAAATAAGACTTAATGGGATCTTCAGACTCTCGCAAATCGTCCACTATGTACAATTTTCTGATCATTCCAATGGTCATCTGGTCTTTATTACTTATTTTGACCAACCCAGATGACGGCATCGCCGTCTCCATGACGGCTCAGGACTGACACTCAAACAATGTCGGGTCTGAAGGCGGACACGTTATCTTCTCCAGATGTTTCGTTTGAACACACCTACGTAAATAGTTTAGATTTTCAGCTCCGATATGTCTCGCTTAAATTGACTACGTCCTTAAATATAATATGGTATATCAGGACTTTGTCACAGTCGATGTCCAAGTTTAAATTTCGATCGAACTTTCAAAGAAGACGCCCCTCTTTTTATGAAAATACTTTTTTTCGTTTAAAAACATATTAAATTCACGAAAAGGCTTGAAAATAATTCGTGTCAGGTTTTACTCAAAACGAATAAATCCATCCATGATGGGTGTACGTTGAAGGTCAACACATTGTGTGGCTCCTTTCATAAAAGTAAAAAGTAGCCAACATCACACATCAATCCGAGCTAAAATGCTACTACCATCTCATATTAAATAGTTAGACACCAAGAATCGAAAAGTGCTATTTACGTTATGCACCAAAATACCCAACCCAAAAATTAAAAACACTTTGTAGAATCTAATATATCCATAAAATTGTAATTCCAAATTTTGATGAAAAAAAAATGAATTCAAATTTAGCTGTAGCAAAATCATACTAAAACCCCACAGAGAATAATGTACAATTTCTGTAGGTTCGCTAGCGGACATTGGTACGCATGAAGATAGCTGACGGAAACGCCGGAGTTCCTGCAATGTTGATGGCGTTTTTGGAAGACGTCGTTAACGTCGGCACGTTTCATCCCAGACATTTTCGATTGGAGGCAGATCAAGACATCTTACAGGTCAGAGTACACATTAATAATGTCCCATTCGTGCGCAGCTATATCGATACGTAGTCTGCTTTATCCCGATGTACCGTCACTTCAGGACCATTCCGTTGCTGTAACGTCAAACAATCCGTTTGCAAAGTGTATGATGGTTTCTCGTAGCATTTAAAATCTAAATCCAGAACTCATTTTTAATTTCTACCTGTAGCCTTTCCTCCGCAGATCATTACGCCACCACCTCTAAATATAAAGAAGAAAACATTGTTACCCCGAAAAACATGGCGCGACGTTACGTCACCTCAACGTCAGTAGACACGTATCCTGCTATCTGATTGGCGAGGACGTAAACGTTGTCCTACAATAAAGATGGCTGTTTCAAAATTTGTAATTAATGACGCAAGTGATGGAAACGTTGACGCTGATGTTCTGCGATCAGAATTGCCGTTCTGGCTTGGCGTCTCACACGGATTCTGAGTTGCGTGACCGGCGTCGATCCGACTTCTCAAATATGCATCTGTTGCCATAGACACAGGCTGGACAGTTGCTGACTGGAAGCATTTGCAGGAGAAGGGTGCTTCAATCTGTATGTCTTGGTGAGTGGTTGTCACGGGTGGGCGACAACTGCAGGGTCGGTCTTTCTCGTAGTTTATAACGTCACTATTAAAAGTCACGCTGCGAAGTATCGGATTCCCGCATTGATACGGTTCGCCATCTGTCATTTTCACTTAGGCGTGGCACCGTGAAATCTCATTAAAGCGATCAAGAGTGGTGTTTTTCGGAACTCTCCACGACCGAAGATTGTTTATAGTGGCACTGATATGGGTTTGGATATCTGGCCTTTTATGCAAATCGTTTGAAGCAATTCCTCCCGATTTTGCGTTATTTCTTGCAAATCACATCAAGTATTCCATTTGGTTGGTTGCGTCTCTTAGTGTTTTTCATGATGTTTATCCTCGGTTTAGATCCACAATTCATATTAAGATTTCGAAGGGGAAAAGATCCACTTCACAATAACGTTAGTGTTTGAGAGAATTTTAAAAGTATAAATATTGGTACTTTTGGGGGGGGGTTTCGTCAAATTTTTATTTCGTCACGACTGAGTGAATGGAATAATATAGTACACCACATACTTAAAGATACAATTCTATTTGTCAGTTTGGTGTAAGCAGTCATATACAAAAGCACTGCAGCGACATTTGGCAAAATATCCAATTTATATCATTAGAAAAAGTATAAGGCGGCGGTTTTTGGTTGGAGTTTTGATTAGTTTTTCCAATACATGTTTATGCACATGTCTGGAGCTATATGCTACATATGAACGAGTGTGAAATCAAAACGGAATGCATGCACCGAACACCACCACCACCAACACCACAAGCAACACCAACACCAACAACAGGGATTTTCATCGACGACTACCGTATCCCACCAGCTTATTAAGGGACAGTGCCAGTGTACTTGTAACGAAATACATGTCTGCAAAGAAATGTCTTTCACGTAAACTAACGGACCCAGTGGTCAGACTCTCCGACGTCGTTGATTGCGCGTCATCGTACGCCTGGTCGTAGATCGTTGCTCATGATATCCATCACTGGTCCCGACTCTATTCTTACCGGCTGCCTTGCCGAAAAACATTTAAATAGGTGCAACTAAACAACTAAAAAACGAAACGTAAAGTTTGCTCTAGACTCAACCTTACCTTTACTTCCTTGTACTGATAGGTAAACCAGACGAGAAAGGCAATAAAACACATGATGAGTCCCGACACGCCCAGCTCTATTGACCTCTGAATCCAGTTCAAGGTCAAAACGCACGGACTTGAATCAATGCATGTATCACAGCCGGGCGCGCATTGTAAACACTGGAACGTGTCATAAGTGTTGGGCTTGTTCTGTAAATAGAAAAAACTCAGACATTTGTAACTCATTTTCATGATTTCAGTTTTACATCAAGTATGGCACAAGTGTCATTACTAACTGGGTTCGATTCAATGATAAAACATCATAACGGGGACGAATCGGGGCTTCGAATTCATGACCTACAACCAAGGGACGCTACTCCGAATAGGACCACTCGACCGCTCGTTACCACCCACACTCTGCTGGAGACAGCCAAACACATGTGTGTCGAACGTTGATTCTTCGAAGATACGGTTGTCTCAAAGAAATAGCTATGACCCTGGGTATTAACTTTTTAGTCATATTTGCCTTTGCTTTGTTTTTGTGATAGAACGAACTTTGGGGTATAAACAACTTCCCTGATACATCAGTGTTGAACATATTTGCAATGTCCATGTTACGGTATTCATACGGGTTACCGAAATGTCTGGGCGGCCTGTTTCACAAAGCGATCATAACGCTCAGACTATCGTAAGCCCATCTTATAGTGTATCACTTACGACAGCTGCAACATAACGATTGCCGTGTGAAACGGGACCCTTGTCTGACCACCCTTCCCTCTTGTGACAAGTACAGATTGATGAACACCGATTCTAAACCAGGTCTTCACAGACACTGAGCATTTATTGGCTGAAACATTTATTTCAGTATATCCGAACATAAAGTAACAAAACTGATGTACTTACTTTTCGCTTTCTTGCAAACTGTTCCTCCACGTCCTGTCCTCTGTAGAACCTGTCTTCAGCCGTCATGTCGGGGAAGTAATAGCCGTCTTTGCAGACGCAGGAGTAGGAACCACGGCGGAAGCCACGTCCAGGGAGGTGGTCGCACTGAAACACAAGCGGTCTAGGTCATGGGGTAGCCTAGTGGTAAAAGCTTTCCCTCGTCACGCGGAAGACCCGGGCTCGATTTCCCCCATGGGTACAATGTGTGAAGCCCATTTCTGCTGTCCCTCGCTGTGATATTGCTGGAATATGGCTAAAAACGGCCCAAAATAATACCCACTCTGTGTCACAAGGGAATGGGCAGAAATTCTGCGGCTTAAGAAGACGATTCGAACAATGTGCCACAACATACACTCAGATAATGTGTCATTTCCAGGCCGTTATTTTAGGGAATGATTAGACCATACCAGTGCTCCTTGCAATTGGTTTTAGCAAGATGTAACCCTCCAATATATGCATCATTTCGGGCTTTCCTCCCACATTAAACAGACACGTGGCAACATCACTAGATTGTTGAACAATGGTGATAGTTCTATGGGTACCAACTTCTAAACACCAATCAAAGAAGTTAACTGGAATGTTTAAAGCTGCATAAAATCCTAACTCACTCACTAATAATGGGTCTCCATAATTAAGGAAACAGTGGCTGAGGTGACAACCTGACATCCACTTCATACTACGTACCCTTGATGTCGTAGTGCTGAATCTTTTATTGTTGGTCTTTGAGCACACATGTTGTTAGGTGGCAGCGTTATTCAGAGTCAAACAACGTTCCAAGTATAAAACATTGTATATGTGGATGGTGATGGAGGGCAGTTGTATACAATATTTAGACATGTGCTATACATTGGCCCTTTTGGGTTTTGCAATATATTCTGATATAGGGAGTTGGAGAATCTCCTGGGATCTTTGGTATACAAGGGAGCTACCTCTTGCCTCGTATCTCACATTACGTCTCAAGTTACAAAAAGACCAGCAATTGTGTAGAGATCGTTTTAAATCTGGATACTCTATTTTGGAAACTTCATCACTGTAGCAGTGAGCTCAGGACCCCGATCCACAAAGCGTTCGTAACGTTACGACCTATCGTAACTCTATAGTTTATCATAGACTTACGAATGTCGTAGCGCCACGAACTATTTGTGGATCAGGGTCCAGTATTACCATCTCTGTCGTTCCTGCTACAATCACTGTTTCTGTAACATACTGCCTCTGTATTTGTACTGCCACTCTCATACTATACCATTCAAAAAAAGTAGGGGATATTCCATTTAGCGAGCATACCACTAGCCAATGCCAATGCCTATGTGAAACAGTAATATATACTGAACAACATTAGAAACGCACCACCCATATAATACGAAATATCCCCGTCAGACTGAAATGTACCCATGATATCTGAGCATCGTCGGTGCATTTTAGTGTGGTGCGTTTATAATGTTGTTTAGTATATATCCATACAGACGAAACATTTCCAAAGGAATGGATTAAATTGTCACATTTTCCCTTAATTTCTTTTCACCATCTGTTTACTCCTTGGCTTCAATCATCTGCATTTTATCAATCTTGTAAATCCAATATCCCCTACCTTTTTGAATGGTATATTATAGTGATTTGTATATTTTTTGTAGACTTATATACTTTTAGAATACAGTTGCTTTGTTGTCTGTTTGTTTGTTTGTTTGTTTCACACCAAGTTATTTTCCGGACTGATTTAAGGTTAACGTTTAGTTTCAACTTGGAAACCAACACATAACATAACATCATACATCGAGAAGGGACCAGCAAGCCACGATCATATATGAACTCAACTGAACATTTTTTACACTCCGGCCGCAAGTATACATACATACTTTTTGCCATCTATCTAAAACGTGTCCATCAGGATTGTCAACAACCCTTTCACTGACTTCTGACCGGAACACATCCAGAATGATCGTTCTTATAGTCTGTCAACCCAACTTTTGGGACACCCCTTTTGTGAAATATCTTCCAAATAACACCAAATGACCACATGTCATTAACGTATATCTTAATGACCCCCTTTGATGTTATAAGAAAAAATAGTTATAACTTTGTTTGTCACTTGGGGAAAAAAGTTACTTTAGTAACTATCACTAAAATTTCTGTTTGTTTTGGTGTCAAGAGACGGGATATAGTCGCATTACTATCGGATAATATGGACATGTTACTAATATATCAATTGCACTGGCAAGACGTACGGATATTTCCAGGGATATATGGATTTTCTACCAGATCTATCATCTGGGAACATGGGTAAATGCAATTCAGTCACTAATCAGAAAAGAGTATCTTATTGCGAGGTAAGTTAAGCTAATATCACTATGACGTAAACGACCTTCCTTTAAATACTAGTACATGTTTTACCCACTTTCTCTACAAAGTTGAGCCATCATCAAAGTGGGTTTCGTGACGTCTCATGATACCAATGACCATATGTTGTCATTAAACCCAATTCAGACACGTAAAGGAACCTTCAGTTATTCTACCCCAAGCCATTGAGAGTAAATCGCTTATTCAGCAAAGTCAACGATCCAATGCTTTAATGACCAGGTCCCTGCTGAAGAAGCTCCTACAAATTAGTTCCGTACTCACCAACGTTAGTTCAAATTACCATATATCATGTGACTTTTCCCTTCTCCTCTATTAACCATACGCCACTCTGTCACGACAGCGCCATGTCTAGTCACGTCAATGGAACAGACCAAGGGTGGATTTGAAAGGGGGCCGTAACTCAATTTCTTTGACAACCCAGTGACCATTTTTATGAATTAACCTTCTGAAGTGATCTTTAACATTCGCGGAGTATCTCGTTAACATCTTTAACGAGGGTCCGTAGACTACTCATTGTTGGTGTCCCGCGTATAATATAGTCGACGTAAAGCAATAACGTGTAAATCAACGGCACACAGGGGAGATAACCGCGTTGATACTTCCTTTGTGCGGAGCATCATGGGTCCTTTCCGAAGTTCCCAGAAGGCATAATTTAATTTTTGAATATTGTAGCCGGTGTACTTTTGCACAGTTAAAGTTATTCTATGTTGTGGATGGGAGTAGACGTTGAATTTCTGTCTCGACAATCGCATTTCTTATGTTCACGACAGTAAGAAAGAAACGTATGTTGTTGAATAGTGGGTTATAATTTATTACATATGATTTATTCCAAAAACAATTACGTGTTTAGATTACAATATTGTTTACATTCCATACAAGGCAAGTGTTCTCTGTTTGGAAGCTGTTCTCCTCGAAGTTTATCGATTTCAGGCAAGTCGTATGGAATACTAAGTCTTTCACTGCATCAATAGGAAGCTAAATTGAATGCATACGCCCCAATATATATAACATAGGCCAAAATATTGTAAAATCTGTGTGACATCGGGCCTTTAAGAGCTGTATCTAGACAGCAAATGATGATAAAGTTTTCAAATCTTCTGTGACGCCTATGCGAAAGGTACGCCAGGGCGGCTATCATACTTGTTACAGTTTATGGTTTATGGGGAATGTGGGAGATATCAAGTTTATATAAATTCACAAATCAGATGTTTAAAGTATTGGCTTAAGATTCTGGAAATGCATGAACAACGAATACCTAATAAAGTTTATAATATGCTTGTTCATCTTGATAACATGGGCAAGACAACTTGGGCTTCACATATTAGAAATCTTTTATTTTCTCATGGCTTTGGATTTGCATGGTTAAATCAGACAGTGGGTAATGTAACTCTGTTTCTTAAACGTTTCCGAGAACAGTCAGTTGATATGTTACATCAAGAATGGCATTCGACTCTCGAAAATAGTTCAAGGTATGATCTATATAGGTCCTTTTAAGAGCCTTATCCAACCAGAAATATATTTATCTGTATTGACATCAAGAAATATCAGACGCACATTTGTTCAGCTCCGACTAGGTTTATTAGATTTAAGTATTAATAAAGGAAGAAGATTGTCTATAGAAAGAAATATGAGAATTTGTCCATTATGCACTTCATCTATTGAAGATGAAATTCATTTTATATTTGTATGTCCATATTATGATGATCTTAGAAGAAAATATATTTCAAGTAATTATCTATCAAAATATCCAACGATAGCCTTTGTCTCGATTCTCACTTTGTAAAACATGCTGTTGTCTTGAGAAATGATAGGTTATCTAAGCAATAACCATTATAATTGCCATTGTATTATGTACTGTAGTTATGTATATGTATGCAACTCCTTGTATATGGGCCGGAGGACTTGAATACAATAAACTTGACTTGACTTGACAGTCACACAGTGGTGTCGAACTTTGATCCGTACTGAACCTACGGTTGTAACGAAGGGAAAGTTTCCTTCCTATGCTTTCTTTCATTTTCGATTGTTGTCTAACCTCGCTTTACTCAAAGTATTCACTTCGACATAACGACGTTTAACTGTACATTTGTATATCTCATAGTAAACTGTCAGCCAATTTAAAGGGCACCCTCGTGTGGGATGGTGGCTTGTGGCTACCATGAAACATATGTGATGTGTTTAATACGGGTACCAAGGTTCAGTTTTGGAACCTTCAGTAGAACTTGTGCTGCTCTTTGGAATCATCTTCCAGTGGATATCAGGAGATCGGAAAATATCAAAGCTTCCGGAAAAACTACAAGACCAAGTTTTTCAAAACAACATATGAATCAGCGCTCTTGGTCAGGGAATATCTGGATAAGATGCGCAACAAAAATCTATATTTTTATTTTCAGTTTTTCGGCGACGTTTTTCAAACTTGTAACGTTTTGATAACGTTTGTAATTTGCTTTTTATCAAATCCAATTTTCAAGTGTATGCTTTCTTTTGTCCGTTAGTTTCGTTTTGAAATCTTCTATGACATGGATGTCAATGTACAAAAAGGGAGTTATCATAGCAGTCATATCAGAAATCGGTTTTACACAAGAAATGTATCCATCATACTCTTCGGGGATGAAAAACGGTGACTGAAACTGAGAAATGCAATCATGTTTCTGTCGACTCATGCGATGGAAAACACATTTCTTTTTATTAGCAAACCCATACAGTAACTTCACCAGATATTGATAAAAAGCCTTTGATCGGCCTACAAT